TTAAAACAAATCACTTACTTCAGTATAAATGATTATAGACCAAGTTTGAGTGGCTGTTTTGATTTCCAATATTAAATGTAAAACAAATCACTTACTTCAGTATAAATGATTGCAGACCAAGTTTGAGTGGCTGTTTTGATCTTTAATATTAAATTTAAAATAAATCACTTTAAAAAATAAATCTGATTTTTAAGCTGATTCAGGGTCAGTGCAAAGGCAGGCTTTCAGACCACTGGCTGCACCGAGGAGTTAAGAAGAGGAGCAAGCGGTGAGAGTGTCCTAGGTGCTAGGTCGATTTTATGTGGCCGCAAGTGTTGTTGCTGTAGGAGAAGAATAACCCCACTGTGGGGCTGGGCAGAAGTATGTTGAAGCCAGCTCAGACGGGGCCAATTGTGAAATGTTCACTGTGAGCATTTTTTTATACCTTGGAAGTCAGCAAACTACAAATCAGGGCTTGATTGTTAAGAAAGGGATGGAGAAAGTTTTAATAATACAGATTAAATGTAAAAGCTTGTTGTGGGTATTTACCTCTTCTCCTCCCCCATCCCCATTGGCAAACCTTTACTAGCACACTCCTGGACCAAGACTTTTGGCTATCCCAGGGCTCCTTTTCCCTTCCTTTGCCTTTTCCTCATCTCCCCGGCTGTCTTTTTTTGGGAAGGTCTTACCCAGTGAGTACTTCTTACACTAGGCAGTTGCTCTAGTCCAAAGCTTCTTAGCCTTCTTTGAGTGACATCCCTTTTTCACAATCAGATAAAACATGGACCTCTTTTCTGAGCAATATTTTAAATGTACAAAATAAAATACATAGGATTTCAAAGGAAATAGATTATATTGAAATAAAGATGTAATTTTTCCTACCCTAGGTCATGAACTCCTTGGATAATTATTCATGGATCACTTCCATGGATGCCTAGATCCAGCAGCATGAATCACAGCTCTAAATGCAAGTAGTTCAGGTTGGTCCCTAAAGAAGGCGTGTGTGTGTGTGTGTGTGTGTGTGTGTGTGTGGTGTGTGTGTGTGTGTGTGTGTTTTCATAATGCTGGAAGGCTTAGGCTGGGGAGGGACTGGGAAAGGGAGAGGGGGCAGGGAATGGTTGACTCTATAGGTGGAGCAGAGGAACATTTTAACTGTTATCCTTGTACAATATGTTCTTTTAATTCTTAAATAGCAAAGTGGCTTTTAAGAGGATTTTAAACTTTGAAGCAGCTAGACTGACCTAATTTAAGTCTGGGCCTACAATAAAGGGGAAAGATGAGGAATTCAGTTCTAGACATATCACTATGTCTCATCATAACCTTATGGTTCTTCGGCTGGGTTGGACTAATCCAGGAGGCCATTGATCACATATCTGGTTGCTTTTGAGATTATCTTCCCCTTTGACGTTTTTCCTGATGAAGATGCAACCAATACTGGTCTGTCACCCTGGAAACTTTGTCTTGTGACTTGGAATCGTGAGTATTTAACCCAACCTATTTTGGGCAAGACTTCCAACCGGAGGCCATTTAAGCCCTCCAGCTGAGGCATTTAAGGACTTTGCCTCCTTTCAAGATGCTTATCTTTGGGGGCAGTTTTAGTTAACCTTGATCCAGGAAGGGATCTGAGGGCATAAGTGACTCCACTTTCTTAGCTAGTAACTCTCAGGATATTTATGCAGGGCATGACAGGAGAGTGAGCTGGCTGAATTTTGCCTTATAAACAGTCAATTTTACACAAAAGAAAGTGACGGAGATGTTTAATTAGAGTTTTCCAAGAAATTTCTAGCTCAGCTCTATCTTTAACTGAAACATGCAAATTCTAACCATTGAGAATATAAATCTTAACAATAACCTTAAGGACATAGACATAATCATTTTTACAAATCAACTAAAGTTAGATTACCTCACCCATTCCCTATTGGGCCTACACTGGAGACCTTAAAAGGATCTCGGTTCTGAACAAAGATAAGAGAGAGGAAAGAGATGCCATTTGTCCTTTTATGGATCAAAAGGGAATTCTTCAAAGAGCTGGAGGAGAAGACAGATGCCTACTGCTGCCAACTGCTCTTATGACAGTCAGAAGAGAGAACAAAGACCTAGAGGGGTGAGCAGAAGCACTATGTCAAGTCAATAAGCATTTATTAAACACCTAGTATGTGCCAGGCACTATGCTAAACACTGGTTTTCTGTATGTTCTTCATTCTTCCTCTGCATTCTTCTGGTCTTCTTAGTAGAACCTGTCTAGGCTTCTCTTCAGGCTGACTGGAGATACCACTCTATGCACTAGAGGCTTTAGGACAGATTTGAAGGTAACTGGAAGTTAGGTTAACTATTAGGTACAGATTAATTTTGAATTCTTGAGAAGATCTCAGTCTCTCAACAACAGAAAGCAACCTCCTCAATCCATTCAGGTTGATCTATGACTTCCTCCTTTTCCCAGACCAACTGTTCTGGTGAGGAGAATGTGGGAGAAAGTATTGTATTGTCATTTCCCCTGCTATTCCTTTTTCAAGTCCTTAGACAGTTGTCATAAGAAGGCACTCCTTCTTGATACTGCATAGGACAGCTAAGCTGGCAAGGCCGCATATGAAATCTCACCCTGTCCCAATTGCTTACATTTGCATGTGCCCCATAAATTGTTGCCAGGGCCTATTAATTTTAAAAATTCCTGACTACAGCCCTGAGTCTAACCCTTTACATGCTTAACATTCTAGCAACCGTAAATTGGGAAGCGGCAGACAACAGGAGAGTACGTCTATTCCACACACAGATTTAAAAAAAGAAGAAGAAAAGAAAAATCTCTTCAGGAAGGAGAGGTGGGGTAGAATTAGAGAATTCAAGAAGTAGTCAAAAACCTGGGAAGAGCTTGGTGAGAGTTCAAAACTTATTCCTCAGTGAGTGGCAAATGCCCAATAGCAGACAAAGCTTTGCACTTTTAAGTTTGACATTGTCTTGTGGTATCTATATACTGCCTCACATTTGCCTTCTCTGACTTATATGGACTCACCACTGGCCTATGGGCCAATGCTGGGCCTGAGAGGACAACAAACAGATGTGTTTTGTAGGTCTTCTAGAAATCCACTGCTGAAACATGGGGTTACCTGCTGCATTTGCTCCTCCTAATGGATGGCAAGGATATGAAGGAATGTGCCACACCAGCATGCCAGGAATTTTTAAGGTTTAAAATAGGCTGTAGAGGCCACTTGGTGTGCTATGATAAATCCTGCTGCTACAGGGCAGGGCAGGCAGATGAGAAGAGGCAATAAGGTAGAGATGGAAAAAGTGCTCTTTCCGGCTTGTCTCATATCTTGTGTGAATGGAGGCAATCATGAAACTTGTATGGTGAATGTGGGTGAGTGGGCTCTGTCCTGTAGGCTCACAGGCTTTCCTATATAGCTGCAATTTTTGGAAAGCTTAAACTTGGGCAAATAATTGAGATTTGACTAGTACGTATTCTGCTGCATTATTATACAAGTGGGGAGGGAAGATAGAAAGGGGGGAAAAAAGAAACCCTAATGGACCACAGAAGCAATAATGATTTAAAAAAAATTATGGAATCACCCTGGCTCTCAGCTCACTTTAAAGTAGGATTGAAATTGTCACTGTTCAAATGTCAATTCAATTGCTGGAGGATTGGCAGTTACCAGTTTAGCTGAGAAATTCTGATGAGTGACATATTCAATTACTTTGTATCCCCTCCCTCCCTCGAAAATAAAACAACCTCCAATCTCAATCACTGCTTGTCACTTGGCATTCTAAAAATGTGTGCAAACAGGCAGTTCACATGTATATTACTATCATCTTTCCTTGTTTGAAACATTTTTTGGGAAAAAACCCAACCAAGCCACATTAACGATTTCTAAATAATTGGGGTTTGGGGCCAGTGCCATGTAAGACTCCCTTATAAGATTTATGTATTTATATACTTTTGAGAGACATGGCTCAATCATTCCATTTAAGGATAATAAAATGAAGAGCCCAGAGGGTGGTTGTTCATACACACAAGGGGAGTAGACGCAATAGAAATGTATAGAGGCATTCATAAATTCCTTTAATGATTAGGCTCCTGCTTCAAGCATCTGGACAAGGAAATGGAAGGAAACAAGCATTTATGAAACACCTACTATGTGCTAGGCACTAAGCACTTCACAAATGCTACATATCTCGGATATGCTGTGAGTTTGGTTTCAGACCGCCGCAATAAAGCAAATATTGCAATAAAGTGAGTCACAGGAAATTTTTGGTTTCCCAGTGCATATTGTGTTTATGCTATACTGTAGTCTATTAGGTGTGCAATATATAAAAAGCAATATACATGCCTTAAGTTAAAAATACCTTATTGTTAAAGAATGCTATCCACCATCTGAGCCTTCAGAGAGTCATAATCTTTTTGCTGGTGAAGGGTCTTACCTCGGTATTTATGGCTGCTGACTGATCAGGATGGTGGCTGCTGAAGGTTGGGGTGGTTGGGGCAATTTCTTAAAATAAGGCAGCAACCAAGTTTGCACATCAATTGACTCTTCCTTTCACTTGAACAGTTAGAGACCATTGTAGAAGTATTGATTAGCCTAATTTCAATACTGTTGTCTAAGGGAATAGGGAGGCCCAAGGAGAGGGAGGTGGGGGGGGGCATGGGGAGAACAACTGGTTGGTGGAACAGTGGGAACACACACACACACACACACACACACACACACACACATTTATCACTTAAGTTCACCGTCTTAGATGATTGTGATGCTCCAAAACAATTACAATAGTAACATCAAAGATTGCTTATCACAGATCTCTATAACTGATGCAATATTTGAAATATTGCAAGAATTACCAAAATATAAGAGACACTATGTGAGCACATGGTATTAGAAAAATGGTGCTGACAGACTTGATTGACACAGTCCTGCCCACAAACCTTCAGTTTGTAAAAAATGCCATAAAACAAGGTATCCCTGTATTATCTCATGTATTAAAATCACACCCATGTTGAGAAAATGGAAGCAGATAGAAGTTAAGGGACTTACCCAGGGTCACAATAGTAAGTGTCTGAGGCTACATTTGAATTCAGGTCTTCCTGACTCTAAGCCCAGAACTTTATCCAGTATGCCACCTCTGCCTCTAGAAGCAAACAAACAAACAAAAAAGAAAATAGGACAGGTTGTGAGAACGTTTAGGAGGCATTGTATAGAGTAGTGGTTCTCAAACTTTTTGGTTTCAGGGACCTTTTATACTCTTAAAATTTATTGAGGACCTCAAGGAACTTTTGTTTATGTGGGCTATGTCTACCAATATTTATCTTTTTGAAGTTAAAACCAATAAATTTTAAAACATTCAAAAATTCATTTAAAACAGTTATAAAACCTTTCCATGTTAACATAAATAACATTTTTATGACAATAATTATATTTTCTAAAACAAAAATGGTGAGAAGAGAGGCATTATTTTACATATTTTTGCAAATCTCTTTAATGTCTGGCTTAATTGAAGACATCTGGATTCTCCTTTCTGCTTTTGCATCCAATCTGTTGCAATATATTGTTTTGGTTGAAGTATATAAAGAAATTCAGCCTCACATAGATATGTATTTGGAAAAGGAAGGAGAATTTTAATAGGTAGATAATGTCTTAGTATTCTTATGAAACTAGTGACCTTGTGGACTTGGTTGAAAAGATCTCAGGGATTTCCTGGAGTCAACAGACCACACTTTAAGAACTGCTATTGTAGAGGAAAGAGCCTTGAGCTGTATAAAGTTCTTGTTCTGCCAGTGTTTAGCTGTGTAACCTGAAACAAGTCCCTTAGTCTTTTTGGACCTCTGTAATCTCATGTACAAAATCACAGGTCCAGACCTGATGATCTATAACATCTTTTTTCTAAAATTCTGATTTTCTGAATATAATGTAACTTTATTCATTCACCCTGGAACTAGGATAAGTTTTTACTTTCTGTTGGTGATAACTTTTTTCAGGCTAGCTCACATTTTTTAGTTCTTTACCATTTGCAAAGAGCTTTCCTCCCAACAGGCCTCTGAGGTAGGTCCTGTAAGTAATATCTCCACTTTAATCAATAGCTAACATTTATATAGTTAGTACCTTAGGTTTTGCAAAGCTCCTTACAAATATGATCTGATTTGATCCTTACAGCAACCCTGGGAGGTAGGTGCTATTATTATTCCCATTTTGCAAATGAGGAAACTGAGGTCGACTGAGGCTAAGGGACCTGCCCAGTGTCATATAGCTAGCAAGTATCTGAAGCTGGATTTCACAAAGGATATAATGATGGCTTAGCTTGACCTGTACAAGATCATGGAGCTAATAAGTGGCAATGTTTCTGAACCTCCAGTTATAGATACTACAAACTTATTTATTTATTTGAATTTTAATTTATACAATAAAACAAGCATTCCATAATATAATATAATTTTTAAAAATATGATTGCACATGAAATTGCAAATCTATTATATAGATATAGCCCACATAAACAAAAACTGTTCCTTTTAAATATATAATAAAGTAATCATGAAATTTTTTTCCTTTTTTTTCTTCCTTTCCCCTTCCCCTCCCCAGAGATGACTACCATTACACACAAATATGTCTATATATGTAAAATCATTCTATACATGCTTCTGTTTATCAGTTCTTTCTTGGGTGTAGAGATACTACAAATTTTTAAAGGTGGTTGTTTTAAAAAGTTAAGAGAACAAACTGTTTTTAAGTACTTGAGCACTTTGGAAACATCATTAAATTTACAATGTACATTTGTTAAGCACAAGCTGTGTATAGAACGTTGTACTAAACTTTGGGTGAGGGGGGAAGAATAGAAACTTTATATGACATACTTCCTACCCTCAAGGAATTTACAGACCAATAGAACCAAATGACATACATATCTTTACCATACGGTATTACATTAGATTAATGTAAAAGTGCTAGGTGATGTTTGAAAGAGGAATGTTCATTACTCACTGAGTGGGGAGTATGGAGGACTTTGTGGAAAAGATGACACTTGAATTTAGCTTTCAAGGATGAGCATAAATTCAACAGACAGAGAAGGCACTTTGAGCCAGACCTGATTCGGTCTAGTCTGGTGGTTCAGCTTTGAGATTAGAATGATACTTATTGACCATCTAACATTTAATAAAAGGAAATTTACAACACTGTTTCAGTTGGGTGCAAGGTCCCTGCCTCTTGATTTGCCACGGTGGGTTGCTTATCAGATGCGTGTACTGGACCTGAGAAAGGAGCCATTGAATCTTCATGTGCCAGCTTTTATGCTTAGCTGACCAGGAAGCTACTTACGGGATCAAGCCTTGGTCTCTTGGAAGTCCTGAAGATGGTTTCAGGACCTGTTAAGGAAAAACTAGCCGTCTTTGAGCGGGCATCGATGTGCTCCTACAACAGAAGGGGAAGAAGGACATTCCAGGCATAGGGCATAGAAACCAAGATAAATAGGCCATGTTTAAGGGGCAGAGACTAAAGCATTTGCCTAGAACTTAGAGTGCGTGGAAGTGTAGTAATACAAGGCTAATAAAAATAGAGTGGCACCACACTATGCAGGGTCTTTATTACTAAACAAAGAAGTTTGAACATTACTTGGTGGTTAATGGGGAACCACTGAGGATTTGGGGGCAGATGAGTGGCATGACCAAATGTAAACAGAAAAAAATATTGGTTTGGCAGCTGTATGAAGGATGGATTGGCAGGGGAAAGTGAGAATGATGAGGCCTGATAGGAGGCAATTGCATTAACTCAGGTAATCAGGGCCTTTACTAGGATAGTGGCATTGGAAATGGAGAGTAAGGATCAGATGAAAGAGATATTGTAGAATTGGCAGAACTGGATAACTGATTGGCTTTGAAAGATGAAGGAGAGAGGAATCAAAGTTAACAGCAAGGTTTCAAACATGGCAGACTGGTTAATGCCAATAACAGAAATGGTGGAGTTAGAAAGAAGAGCATTTATGGGGAAAGAGAATAATTATCTCAGTTTGGGACATCTTTGTTAGTACAATCAGAGGTCAGATCATGTAATCTGTGGGGCAGGAAGATGATTGTTGTTCAGTCATTTTTCAGTCCTGTCTGACTCTCCATGACCCCATTTGGGGTTTCCTTGGCAAAGATATTGGAGTGGTTTGCCATTTCCTTCTCCAGCTCATTTTACAGATGAGGAAACTGCGGCAAACAGGAGTGACTTGTCCAGGATCACACAGCTAGTAAATGTCTGAGGCCATATTTGAACTCAGCACTCTGTGCACTACGGCACCACCTAACTACCTGCAGAGAAGATGGTAGCTGTTGCCAAAATACCTAATGAAGTCATTTGCCTGTGCCCTTCTGAGGCTTCCTGTAGCAGTTTATAGAAGCAAAGGTAGTCAGGCTTCTGAGCAAATGTTTCCAAATGACATATATATGTACACATGTGTATATGTATACGTAGTTTAAGAGAGAGATAAGGAAAGATTGGAAGGAGAGAAGAAAGAAGAGAGGAAGGAAAGAGGAAGAGACAGGCAGCTAAGTAACATATTACACTTACAGTGAAAAAGACCCAAGTTGAAATCTAGCCTCAGATACTTACTACCTGTGTGACCCTGGGCAAGTCACTTAACCTCTTTATGCCTCAGTTTCCTCAACTGTAAAATGAGAATAATAATAGTACCTACTTCCCACGGTTATAGTGAGGATAAAATAAGATAATTATTTATAAAGTGTTTTACAAACCTTAAAGAACTATGTAAATGCCAACTATTATATAAAATGAACATAAAGAGTAGTACAAATACATTCAAAGGGATTAAACATAAGGTAGGCTAAGAGGGAGGGCACTAGCAATTTGACAGGAATCAGGAAAAGCATCATGGTACCTGAGCAGCATCTTGAAAGATGAGAGAGTTTCTGCAAGGTAGAGTTAAGGAAGGATTGTATTCTGGGCACATGGGATGGCCAGGGCAAAGAGGCTGACAGGAGATGGAATGTTCTGTGTAAGGAACAAAAAGAGGGTCATTTTGGCTGGACTGAAGAGTGTGGGAGGGAGAGTAATGTAAAAGGCCGCTGAAAAGATGGTTTGGGGCCAGGTTGTGAAGGGTTTTAGAAGCTAAGTAGAATTTCTTTTTTTTTTTTTAAATGAGACAATTGGGATTAAGTGACGTGCCCAGAGTCACACAAACTAGGAAGTATTATGTGTCTGAGGCCAGATTTGAACTCAGGTCCTCTTGACTCCAGGGCTGGTGCTCTATCCACTGCGCCACCTAGTCGTCCCAGAATTTCTATTTTATCCTGGAGATGTTAAGCAATTATTGGAATTTGAGTAAAGGAGTCGTGTTTTCAGAACTATGTTTAAGAAAATTACTTTGGGGCCAGGATGGACTGGACTGGTGAGAGATTCGAAACAAGGAGAATAATCAGGAGGCTGTTGAGATTGCCTAGGTGGTGGTTGTATGAGTAAAAAGAAGTCAGATGTGAGACATGGCGTGAAGGTAGAAATAGCAAGATTTAACCACTGATTGGATATGTAGGGTGAGGAAGAGTGGGGAGTTTAGGATAATGTTGAGGTAACATACTAGGAAGACTGGGAAATGATGGTGCTTTCAACAGAAAATGGGACATTTAGAAGAGAGGAGGGTTGAGGAAAAAAGAATGATTTCAATTTTAGACATAATGTTTGAGATGTCTCCAGAACATCCAGTTTGAAATGTTTATTAGGTGATTGGTGAGGTGGGACTGAAGCTCAAGAGAGAGAGAACTGGGCTAGATCTACAGATTTGTGAGTCATCTGTATAGAGACTGAGAAATAAACCCATGGAAGCTGATACAGTCACCAAAAGAGACTAGGAAGAGAGAAGGAGAGGGTTTAGGACAGAGCCTGGGAGAACACCCACATTTAGAGGGCATGATACACATGCCCTGTGAGCCAGTAAAGGAAATTTTGGTCAGATAGGCAGGAGGAGAATGAGAAGAGAGTAGTATCACAAAACCCCAGATTGGAGAGAATATTCAGGAAGAGAGGGCAGTCATTTCCAAATGCCGCAGATAGGTCCAAAAGGATTGGGGCTGATACAACATATAGCAAGTAAGAGCTCTTTGGGACTTCTGGCCAACACAGCTCCTGAATCAAAGCAGACCACACATACCCAACATACCTACTCCGTCAAAACCTTGAAATTCACAATGGTCCAAACAATGATTTAAAAAATCCAGTTAAAAACTAGTGCAAACTATTCTCCCACCATTGATCTACATAAAAATAAACCAGAAGCATATGGGGAGTAGGAAAGAGGACCTCAGGGCAAAGCCAGCAGCAGCACAGACAAACAAACCCAGCTTCCCAGTACAACCAGCACTTGCCAGAGACAGGTGCAGCCTGTAAGACTCAGCGTCCAAAGGCAACAAGAACGGAGGACTCTATTGAGAAAGATACGAGATTAGGAAGCCCCAGGATCATCAGAAAACCCCAGGATGGGGACTTTGGAAACCTCAGGCTCTGTCAGTGACTCACACAGTACCACAACATAGAAGGCCCTGAAGATCCTGTGCTCTGAACCTCAAAGATGCGGTGAGCCTTACCTTAGGAGGTGTAGGTCAGCACAAAAACCCAGGTAAGATTTACAATCATCTACAATCTCAAAAACAGCTGACCTGAAAAACAGGCTAAGGAGAGATAATTTGCAAATCACCGGACTCCAGAGGACTCATGATAAAACATGCTACCCATCTCCAAATAGAGAAATAACGGACTCGGGGTACAGACTGAGGCTTTTTTTTTGGATGTGACTAATGCAGGGATTTTTTTTTTGCTTGATTATATATGTTTGTAATGAGTTTTGTTTTTCTTGCTTTCCCAATGAGAAGGGGAGGGAGAGAATTCAGAACTGAACTCTTTTTTAAAAACTGGACTTAAAGAGAAAAAAGAAATCATTGGACTTTCTGAAAACCATGATTTTAAAAAAAAAAAAGCTGGAACACCACATTTCAAGAAATCGTAATGAAAGCTGACCAGATCTATTTCAACCAGAGTGCAAAGTGAAGATAGAATCCATGAGTCACCTCCTAAAAATAACACAAAAGGAAAAGTCCCAGGAATGTCATTGCTAAAAAAAAATAATAATAAATGATAGAGCTCCTACATCAAAGAAAAACGCTGCAGGCATCCAGAAAGAAGGAGTTCAAGTAGCAAGGAACCACAATTAAGATCACACAAAACCTGATGGAACCAGGAAGACCTGAGTTCAAATCCCATCTCAGTCACTTACTAGCTATGTGTCCCTGGTCAAGTTATTTAACTTCTGTCTGCCTCCATTTCCTCAACTGTACAATGGGATAATAATAGCACCTCCTTCAAATGAAATAATATTTGTAATCAAGTGAAATAATATTTGTAAAAAGCCTACAACAATGCCCAGGATGTAGTAGTTGCTTAATAAATGCTTATTTCCTTCCTTCTAAAAACCAGAGGAGATCTTGTCATTTGTTCAGTTGTTTTTCAGTTGTGTCCAATTCTTGTGATCCCATTTGGGGTTTTCATGGCAGAGATACTGGAGTAGTTTGTCATTTCCTTCTCCAACTCATTTTGTAGATGAGGAAACTGAGGCAAACAGGGTTGAGTGATTTGTCCAGGGTCACACAGCTAGTAAGTGCCTGAGATTTGATTTCAGGAAGACAAGTCTTCCTGACTCCAGGCCAGGTGCTCTATCGACTGGACCAATGCAATATTCTTAAAGGCAAAAGATAGAGATTAACAACCAAGAATTACTTAACCTGCAAAGCTGAGTTTCATTTTACAGAGGGGAAATGGATTTTTAGTGGAATAAGAAACTTTCACAGATTTTTGATGAAAAGACCAGAAATGAGTAGGAACTCTGAAACCCAAACATATGGATAAAGAGAAATATAGAAAGGTAAATTTATTTGAGCAATTGGAAGGGGAGGTATGATGTTAGAATGTTAGCATTCTATAGGAGAGAAAAAATGTGTCCAGTACCCTAATGATTTCAAAGAATGTTGGGGGAGTTCAGTAAGGGAAGAAAAAAAACAACTTAGGAGTTGGGGATAGATTGGTTCTGTTCTGAGGACTTTAAGAAGGGAAAGAGAAGGGAAGGTAAAAGGAAGAATACAGTATTATAGAAAAAGGAAGAGGAAGTAAGTGGAACTTACATTTTTCATAATTGAGAGATGTGAGAAGGGCATATGGAGGTGGAGGAAGGGTCCAGGGAGCAATCAACAGATGGACCTCACTCTTATCTGAAATGGATAAAAAGGGGTTGAACACACACACACACACACACACACACACACACACACACACACACACAGAAGAATTTGGTGTAATAAATACATAAAACTCAACAGAAAACAAGCAGGGAAGGGGATGGAGGTGAGGCCTAAGTAAGAGGATAATACAGAGCTGGGAATCTGTATTTATGATAATACACAGCTGAGAATAGCCATGGGGAAAACAAATTTCCTGATCCTGGAGGGGGAAATAAGAGGAGGAAAAAGAAAGAAGGGAGGGGAAGGGAAAGAAAAGAATTTAAAGGGGATGCTTATCAATTGGGGAATGGCTGAGCAAATTGTGATTTGTAACATTGAACAGTAAAAAAAATGTAATGAAAGGGGGCATCTAGGTGGTGCAGTAGATAGAGCATTGGTCCTGAAATCAGGAGGACCTGAGTTCAAATCCAGCCTCAGACCAAACACTTGACACTTATTAGCTGTGTGACCCTGGGCAAGTCACTTAACCCCAATTGCCAAAAAAAAACCCCCAAAAACCCATGTAATGAAAGAGATGATTTCAGAGAATCCTCGATTGTATCAATTGGCTCAGAGTGGCATGAGCAGAAACAGGAAGACAATTTATACAAGGACAACAGCATTGTAAAAAAAAAAACCAACAACTTTGAAAGACTTAAAAACTCTGACCAATGCAATGACTAATTATGCTACCAGAAGATCTATGATGAAACATGGTACTCACCTCCTGACAGAGAAATAATATACGTGCAGAAAAAGACACATATTTTTGGGACATGGCCACTGGGTACATTCATTTTGCTTGACTATCCTTGTTACAAGGGTTTTTAAAAGAATACTTCTCTGGGTTTTTAATTAAGGTTTGGGAGAGTTGGGAAGACAGTAGTTTTATTATGCCATTGCTATTGTTATAACAATGCAAAAAAAAGAGGGCCATTGAAATGAATTTTAAACTGTACAGAAGGAAACAGAAATTGAGGAGGAAGCATAGATACAGAGGACAATTTTGAAAGTGATGGGGTGATAGGACCTGGACCCCTAAAAGGAAAAGACCACACAGGCCAGTCCCTGAGCTTTCCACAATCCAGTCCATGGCATTTCACCTGAGGCATCTGGCCCAGCCCAGCCCAACTGGATACTCAATAATCCTTTTAACTGCATTGTGGCTCTCCAACCACTTAAGTCCTTTCATTGCCTGCACCTGGCCCACCCCAGGTTACTTACCATTCCTTAATCCCACAAGATCTTTTCACTGACTCTTTTTCCCTTTTTCTGTATAAAAGCATCATTCTCACACCCATTAAGCTGCAGATTTACTAGGAATCTTGCCTGCCATAGTGATGTTACAGTAAACCTTGCTACTTTGACTGAAAAAAGGCTTGAGTGGTTGAATTCTTTCCAGGCAGACCACCTTGTACCCTTATATTTCAGGGTTCCCAGTACCCCAAACCACAATAAAAGTAGTATGTGGTGTATAACCTATTTTTATCAAACTGCTTACCATTTTAGGAAGAGGGAAGGTGAGAGAGGAAGGGAGAAAAATTTGGAACTCAAAATCTTGTAAAAATGAATGCTAAAAATTGTCATTACATATAATTGAAAAAAATACTATCAAAAAAAGAAAGTAACGTGGAATTTATTATGTACTTTTTTTTTTAAGCAAGCAGTATGAAATGAAGAGTCATAGTTTTATATCATCAACCTCACAGGGTTGTTGTGAAGATCAAATGAGATAACATTTGTAAAGCACACAGTAGGCACTGTATAAATGCTTATTCCCTTTCCCTTCTCTTTTGCAATCCCCTTTTTGCATTCCACTGTATACACTGAAATATTCTTAATTTGTGGAGTTAAAGTGTAGAATAAAAAAATAAGATTAAAAGAGAGAACAGTTTCCTGTGATGTCAGAAGTCAGATTGCAGAGGACTGCAAGGACTAAGATGAGAGGAAATGGAGTCTTTGAGTGTAGACAGCTTTTTCTAGGAGTTTGGCTGAGAAAGGGAGTATATATTATATGGGGTAATAATTTAAGGGGATGGTGGGATCTAACAAAATTTTTGTTTTTTTTTAAGTCTAGTTCAGTGGCTGGCCAGGTGCCACTGCTGAGGCCATAGTGGCTGCAGACAGTTACCAATTCCTATCCTTTACCTTCTCCCACCTTTTCCCAGGGTTTTTAGCTCTCAGGTTGCTTACCTCTGCAACTGGTAGAGCTGGTGCTTTGGTTTGCTAGTAAATGTTTACCAAAAAAAATGTACAAGACACTTTTAAAGTGGATATGCATTACTAACGTTTTCTCCATCACTTTCTTAAAACTAGACACTTAACAGAACAAAGCTCTGATTGGAGACCTTACAGATTTCCAGGGCATAAATGCTCACACTGAAAATTTAACCATCAGCTCTCGGGAACCAGTGTGAGTCAGCTCCACCACACTACTGTGAGTTGAAAGATTCCTGAGGAACAATTCTATCTTTGGCTCTAGATTAAAGCATCCTCCCCACCAGGGCTACTGGAAATGAAACTTAGGTACCTAGACCACAGTGCAAATATAAATCAGGTGTCGAACAAATAGTTTTATTTCCACACAGAAAAGCCATTTTAAAAAAATCACCGAATGACTACAATCATTAGAAAAGCTAATATTCAAGGCTCACTAGAACATTTGCAGTTTCTTTGCAATGGGCTACTTATTAAGTATTTTGCATTTTACCTCTACAAAGTATAGCTTGATTGCTCCCAAAGGGCTCCCCCTGCCCTGCTCTATGGGAGACTCTTGCCCTCTTTTCTCATCTGCCTCTGCTGCTGTGATCCTGGGCAAATTATTTTACCCCTCAGTACCCAACATAGCAAACATTCCTTTAATTGTCTCAGCACCTGGGAAGATAATTAATAGGAAAATGAGACAATAAAAAGTTAGAGAAGGGTGAGAGTTGGTGTGGTAGTCTGGGATTGTAAAATTATTTTTTCCTTTCACAGAGATATTTTTTTTCATTAGCAATCCTCTGAAATTCATAGAATCATAAGTGTAAAATATCTAACAGTGCTGTCAATGAGTCATGGCATTAATGTGTATATGTTAGTGTTCTATTTGAAATATATTAATTACATGTAATTGCTGTTTCACTGTTTATTACTATGCAATGTCTTGCTAAATACAGTCTTATCTAACAACTACTTGAAAAAATGGCAGTCAACATCTGTAATAAGTCTTGTGAGGTAATGAGTGCTGACACACAAAGGTCTCAATATTAGTAGTTCTTGAGAATGAGAATAAGGACATTATGTATTAAAAAGAGCTAAAAAAGAGTTGGAAGAATGTGACATGATAATTGGCAGAGTAAAACCAGAGGAAACCATTCAGTCAATATTTTGTGAATTAACAGACAGTT